CCGGGGAGCAAGCAAGCAAGCAAGAAGGCCATGCATCCTGAAGGACGCGTAGGCAGGCAAGGACACTCATGGTTCCTGCCGTGATTCGCTGCGACAGACAATCGGCGCCAGCGCGGATTGGACTAAACAGCCCGAGAGGAGGAGGAGGAGGAGGAGGAGGAGGAGGAGGAGGAGGAGGAGGAGGAGGAGGCGAGGAGGAAGAGGAAGCAGGAGGAGCAGGAGCAGGAGGAGCAGGAGGAGGAGGAGGAGGAGGAGGAGGAGGAGGAGGAGGAGGAGGAGGAGGAGGAGGAGGAGGAGGGGGAGGGGGAGGAGGAGGGGGAAGAGGGGGAGGTCCGCGACAATCGGTCCTCCAGGCGGTGGTTATGAAGAAAGCCCCGCCTCGGAATCGCGGCCCCCGCCGGCCAATCGAGTCGCACAGCAGGAGCTCGACCACGAGAGATCTTCCACACGAGAAGCCCAACCCCTGAGACCCCAGGACGCCCGTTGACATGTGGTGTGCGAATGTCACGCTCTCCATGGCGAAGCCATCGAAACCCAAGAAACCCAGGGCACCCTGAAGCCAAGCAGAGTGTTCCTTGGCATGGGGTTCCAGTGCAATTACAAAGAAACAACCAGAAAACGGCCCCGGCCAGCCAATCGAGTCGCATCTGGCCATCGTTGAACCGATCTCTATCCCCACGGGCGTGGCCTGGGCACCACTGGCCGATTTGCCTCCCTTGATGGGGACATGGGCGTATCTGTGGAAACCTCTCCCGGAGTGCGTTCTGACCAGGATTTCAAGACGAATCCAGCGGTGGCAACGAGGGCCTCCCAGCAGGCCCACAGAGGGGAAAACGAGGGAGGGGTAGCAGTGTGGGTACCTCTTCCGCCTCTGCGGAACATGGCAAATGCTCCCGACAGGCTCCCCCCCCCAGTCCCGCATCCCGCCCAGCGAGCACCGACTTGGACGGGGGCGCGCCAGCGCCGGGCTCGCGCTTGACAGTTTTCTCCAGCTTCACGCCTTTCACCTCGCAGGGAAACGACGACGACATCGACGACGACGACGACGACGACGACGACGACGACGACGACCAAGACAGCAACGACGACGATCAAGACGACGATCAAGACGACGACGACGACGCCAGCGACGACCCGGCGACGACCAAGAAAACGGCCAAGACGATGACCAAGACAACGACCAAGCCAACGACCAAGACAACAACCAAAACGACGACCAAGACGACGACCAAGACGACGACGACGACGAAGAGGAAGACGAAGAGGACGACGAAGAGGAAGACAAAGAGGAAGACGAAGCGGAGACGAAGAGGGCGAGGAGAAAGAAGAGCAAGAGGGAGACGACGCGGGCGGTGGCAGCGCCGATGGCGACGGCGGCGGCGGCGGCTGCGACGGCGACGGCAGAGGAGCCCAGACGAGCGCGGGGGGCCCGCAGCGCACCTCGGGGGAACTGCGCACGGGCGCCCGAGGAGCCGGCGGCCCCCCCCGTCGTGGACGCCCGGGGGGCGCCGGCTGGGCCGCTGGGCCCTCCCACGCCGCGCGGGTGGTGCGCGGGCTTTGCCCTATTTCGGTGGCAAGCCTGAAGAAACCATGATTGCTCTCTCTATATATATATATATATATATATATATATATATTTCTGATGTTCTACTTCTTTGAAACCAACAAGACAACAACAACAACAACAACAACAACAACAACAACAACAACAACAACAACAACAACAACAACAACAACAATTACTAGCACGTGGGGACACACCGTTCTCACCAGTGCCAGGGTTTTCATAGGAGGCGGGCAATACCCCCACTTTGTGGGGGGGCCGGTTCAAGCTCTACCAAATTTCCAAACGACTCTTCGCCACCACCCACACCCAGCTTCCCGCCCTATGACGTTCGGACACTTCACTTCGTGGCATGCGGACGACCGTGGCTACTATTCAGGGCCCCGCGGCCGACGACGACGGCGTGCGCGCGCGAAGAAAAAACGAATGTGTCCCGCATGGTATTATTTGACAGGGATGATGGCCCTGGCAGGTGCGCAACCGTTGTCGCAGAAGTTCGAAAAAGTTGCTCGCAAAAGCCCGTTTGACAGAAATGTTTAAAAAGTGTTGGGTTTCCTACGAATCCGCAAGAGCGCGCGGGATGAAATTTTGACATTTTTTTTTGAAAAACCATTGGTTTTTTGATGTTTTTATGTTAAAATCGTTACGAAAACTAAGGTTTTGGAAGGATTTCGTCTTGCGCGCGCGAATGTCCACTTTACCTTATTTTTTGCAAGGGATTCTTGAAGTTTGGATATGTTAGAACAAGAAATGTCCACTTTAGCTTTTTCTTTGCAAGGAAAAACCGATCGTAACAACACAACCGGATCCGGACCAACCCGTTTTGCCTGAGACTTCCTCACGAAAATGATGAAAACGTGGCTTCGGCATAGGCGCGGCGGGGGGGTCGTGCACCAGGGGCCCCAACAATAATTATTCTTTAGAAGTAATAATGTTCAACAACAACAACAACAACAACAACAACAACAACAACAACAACAACAACAACAACAACAACAAGGCTCGGAAGTCCCTCAGCCTTCTGAGAAGTTCTGGTCAAAGTCCAGCAGCGGCCGCTGTCGGGCAGACGCCGTCTTGTCTCGCATGGACAGCGGCTGCGGCGACACCGACGGCGAGCCCAGAACAGAACAAAAAAAAGGCAGAGGCTGCTGCCGGTCGTGTCCAGCGGGGGTTCTCGCAGGCGTACCAGGGCGCTGTCTGACCTGGCACCACGGTGGCAACGGGGCGGCGGCGGAAGAGGGGGCGAAGGGACGCGGATGGTTGAGGGAGAGAGAGGACGAGGGAGGACCCAGAGATCCAACGTCTCGCACATAGTGCAGCATCGTGAAAAAAAAAACAAAAACAAAAAAAAACAAAAAAAACACGACCAGAGCACCAGACCCCATCCTTGTGAGCCACTTTTTTCCGAGCCCTTGTTCGAAGACGCCCGGCTCGACAAAATTACGACGCCAGGATCTCAGGGGACCAGGGGCTGATGCAGGAGAGCCCAGGATCGAATCGACAAGTCGGATCGGCGATCGAAATGAATCGGATCGGCAAAAATCGGCAGCCAAGTCGGAAGAAGTCGAATCGACAGAAATCTGCAGGCTAGTAGGCCTCCACCGAGAAATCGAAATCCACATCGGAACCCGAAGTCGAATCGAATCGGAATCGGAATCGAAGCCATCGAAATCGAATCGAATCGGAGGACTCGAAACGAACCCTGTGATGGCTCGATCCTCTCGAGGACGAGGGGGCTGTCCGCGGAGGGCGACGTCCAGCCACGGGCGCGGGCGAGGCGGGCGAGGGCCTCGTTCTTGATGGCCAGCTCGGTCTTCAGCGCCAGCTCATTCTTCGACTCGCCCTTGGCCTCGCCCTTGGCCTCGGGAGGGCAGGGCGGCGCACCGGGAAGCGCGCCGCTGCGGAGGGTCGCTATCGTTTTGTTTTTCCTCTTCTTCCCCTCCTCCTATCCCTCCTCCTCCTCTCCTCTCCTCTCCTCCACCTCCCTCCTCTCCTCCTCCTCCTCTCCTCCTCCTCCTCTCCTCCTCCTCCTCCATTCCTTCCTCCCTCCTCCCTCCTCCTCCTCCTCCTTCCTCCTCCTCCCTCCTCCTCCCTCCTCCTCCCTCCTCCTCCTCCTCCTCCTCCTCCTCCTCCTCCTCCTCGTCCACTTCCTCGTCGTTCAGAAACGGAGATGGGGAGAACCTGGAGGATGAAGAAAGAAGACGCAGGACGGAGGATGCAGGAAGCCCTGCAGGAGGAGAAGGACGAGGAGGAGGAGGAGGAGGAGGAGGAGGGGACGGAGGAGGAGGAGGAGGAAGAGGACGAAGAGGAGGAGGAAGAGGAGGAGCAGGAAGAAGAGGAAGAGGAAGAGAAGCACGACGACGACGACGACGACGACGACGACGACGACGACGACGACAGGGACGAGGGCGTGGGGGGCAAAAGAGCAGGAAGGAGCAAGAGGAGCCTCCGAGTGCGGAAGAAGGAGAGGCGACGGGGAGGGGATAGGAACAGAGGAGGATGACGACAGGAAGGGCGGGGGCGCAGGAAGGGCAGGAGGCAGGAGGAGAAGGGCAGAGACAAAGAGAGATACATACACACACACACACACACACATATATATACATATATACATATAAGAATATATGCTTCTCTCACCTGTTTTTGTGCACTCCGCCAGGGAGCTTGTCAGGCCAGGACCTCTGGGGGCTACTCAGGGGTCAACCCAGGAGTTGGGAGAGGTCCCGTCCCTTCAGCGGCATCCAAGGGCCTCCCAACCCGCCTGGCACAGCCGTGGCGCTTAAGCACCCGCGCTGCGTCCCAGTCGCGCTGGGCCCTTCCTTGACATTGAGCCGCCGGGAGGTTAAACGTCACCAACCCCTGAACCCCCTAGCTCTCGTCCTGGCAAATACTCGCGCGGAGGCAGGCACGGCCACGCGCGAGACGGTAGCAATGCTGCCCCCTGTCTGTGGGTGGGCCAACACAGCTACGGAAGATGGATGAAACTCAACCGTTATCCATCAACGGCGTCGCGCACGCTCAGGTGGATTCCGCATAGGTTTCCTTAGAAGGTTCATATATGCTTCTCTCACCTGTTTTTGTGCACTCCGCCAGGGAGCTTGTCAGGCCAGGACCTCTGGGGGCTACTCAGGGGTCAACCCAGGAGTTGGGAGAGGTCCCGTCCCTTCAGCGGCATCCAAGGGCCTCCCAACCCGCCTGGCACAGCCGTGGCGCTTAAGCACCCGCGCTGCGTCCCAGTCGCGCTGGGCCCTTGAGCCGCCGGGAGGTTAAACGTCACCAACCCCTGAACCCCCTAGCTCTCTCCACGGTCCCTACCCTGGCAAAAGCCGCTCCCTCTTGCTCTTAGTTATGCCCTCCACCTTGGTGTAATGAAATGAGGGATGAAAGGTGGAGGATGGGCGGGACAGACAGACAGGCAGTACAAAGCAAGAACAGTTCATCTCGCTTCTGCTCGCAGGCGGGACGCGAGCAGGCCGCAGCGCTTCCGCTGCGTGGGCGAGAGATTTAATTGAGTGGCCTCGGCGACGGCATCCTGGACATACAAGCGGGCCGTGCGCGCCGAGGCCCATCTGCCTCGGAGCAGCGTCTGCTCCATGGAGCCGTGGCTGCGGAAGTCGGCGGAGGCGCCGCCCCGCCGCCAGCTGTAGAGGGTGAGCTTTGCATCTTGCAGCTCCAGCAGCTCACGCACGCGGCCGAAAGTGTTCATGAAACTGCTTGGCTCCATCCCGAGGCACAAGTCCTGTCCGTGCGCCTGAGCCTTTGCTCTGGCAAGGAGGGCGACCGCTACACCACTCCGCACGAGCACGAACTCTCGGGCACCAGTCTGATGCTGGCTCTTGGTGTTGCGCAGCTGCAGCACGGCCATTCGTCGGAGTGGATACAGCTGTACATCGGACCACACGAGCGAGGTCATCTCACCCGTCCGGAGGAAAGCATCGTAGCCCGCAGCCAGCACCGCCGCAGCACCGAGCTGGCCCACGGCCGCAAATGCACCAGCGAACGCTGCCGCGATCAGCGGACCGATTGGCAGCGCCCGCCCAGCTGGCCCCAGGCGTTGCCACGTCTTGGCCAAGCGCCAGCTGTCCCGCAGGTGCCCTCGCACGGGCGGGAAAGTGTGCGTGATGCCTGCAATTGCATTATTAACCTCAAACAAGGATCCTCCGCTCAGCCAACGGCTCTCAATGAAGGCGGCCACGCCAGCGTCGACCTGAGCGGGCGTCTGCGGCTGCCGGTGCTCCTGGATCCAGAAATCAACGACTTCATCGACTGCCGCACGGTACCGCTGCAGGGCGAGTGGCGTGACCATCGCCTCCCTCAGCGGTTGGGACCTCGCTGCAGCTCGTCGTGCCATCGCCTGGGCCGTGACCCTGCTCACCTTTGCTGCTGCCTGCGCTGCGCGCTTGCTGGGGGCGGCCCTCCTGGCCCTCGCCTGCGGCAGCACTGGGAGCGAGGCAGCGGCGGCCGAAGCTCCAGCGGGACGGCGTGTCGGCGGGCATGTCGTCGGTGTCGCAGTAGCCGTACAGCGGGTACCCAGCCGTCGCGAGGAGCAGGGAGTTGAGCCGGCGGAGTGCGGGCTGCAAAGCCCTCGCGCTCGATCTGCCCTTGGTGCTGACTGCCGCGATCGCTTGGGCATCCAGAATGTGCAGGTAGCGGCAGCGGTGGTTCTCAACTGCTCGGCACCTCCAGCGCGCTCCAGCCACCGCAGCCTCCAGCTCCAGCGCCGAGATGTGCCCGGGCCGCTGCCAGCGAAAGCCTTTGGCGATCCGCCAGGCCCAGAGGTGCGTACGGAGTGCTGCCCGCGGCCACGCGCGGGCGCGGTAGGGCGCCCCGGTGTCGAGCCGGACGTCCGTGCCCCCGCGGTCCGCGACCCTCAGGAACTCTACGATCAGGCTGCGTTCCAACTGCGGGTCGCGATGTCCCGGCTGCTGGAAGTCGGGGACCACGTTCCAGTTCGCCTCGCACGTGCCCACAGCGAGGCAGCTGCTGCCTGGGATGGCGGCCGCTAGCGCCCCCACCTGAGCGAGCCACGAGCCGAGAAGATACATGACAGCCTGGACGCAGAACGTATTCCCGATCAGGGACTCAATGACGCTGTCTCGCTCGGCGGCGGGTGCACTATCTTTTACAGCGGCCTGGAAATAGAGACGGTCGAACCCCATCAGAGCAGCACGCTCCTCAGGCACAGGCAGCCGGCCCCGCTCACGCCTCGCGTCCCAGATGAGGCTGCCGTCCTCGTAGTTGTTGACCTGGTAACGGTAGCTGTCGGCAGCCCAGCGCTCCGCGGCCAGCACCGAGGCGCGGTCGAGGCCCACGGGCCGAAACGGCGGGTGGCGTCGCGGGATCGGCCTCGTAAAACAAGGGAGGTCTGCCTCAGGGTCCAGCGTCGACCAGCCCTCCAGGAGCGAGGCACTCAGTGGGAGCCTCTCCACCGCAAGCGAGACCTTGAAGTACGCGGCTTCACCCACACCCTTGGTCTCGACGGTGGCGTCGGACGCCAAGAACGCCGTGACGGGCCACGAGCACCAGTACAGGCGGGGCCGCCTGACGTGAGTGAGACACCTGGCATCGAGGAACACGGGCGTGACTCCAAGCGCCCTGGTGAACTCCGCCCTCGACTCTAGGGTCATGCTGAACACGTTCTCGACGAACCACATGGTGCGCTTGGGAAAGGCAGCCTCTGCTGCCTGGATCAGCTCGGGGACCCGGAAGAAGAGCCTCGACCTCGACCCCTCTAGGCCGGTCCCCACGGCATTGATGCTCGCAAGGTCTTGGCACGGGCTCCCCGCGGTCAAGACGACCCAGTCGGCGTCCCGCGCGTAGCCCTTCAGCATCTCAGTAAACCGCGCCGTGTCGATGGCCTCGATGTTGCCAAGCTCGATCACGCCCGCCCAGCGGCGACGCACCAGTCGCCGGGCAGCGGGCTCGACCTCGCAGCTGACATGGGCCATCACGTCGATCGGGAGTCTGGAGGCCGCCACCGCGGCCCCAGCGGCGCCTGCGAAGAGCTCGATGAGAACTATGCGAGGGCGCCACCGCACTCCCCGCACAGGGGCCGCAACTGCACCAGGCCGCAAAGTCACAGCCGAAGCTCCCCCTCTCGCGCACGCAACGCCCTGCGCCGAGAGCCCGGCCGTGTGGCAGATGCCCCCGGCGCGCTCGCTGGCATCGGTCGCTATGACACAAGTGTCGATCTTTGCGCGCAGGTCGGTGTAGGCCAGCGGCAGCGCCATCGCGAAGCCCAAGAGCTCGTCGCACATGCCAAGGGGAACAGCCTGCGGACGCGTCCAGCGCCCAGCAGCCCACACGCTGTTGAGGAATCCCATGAAAGGCCTCCTGAACTCCGCTGCCCTGACGCACCTGCCTAGGATCATGAGCGTGCCCTGCGACGAGAGGCCCTGTCTGCCCATGCCCCACAGGATGAACGCCAGCAGCTGGTGCAGCTTCTCGGTCGTGACTCCGACCCGGCCGACGGCCCCGTCAAGACCCGCGCCCATCCGCTCCAGGACCAGCGCGCGGTGCTTGGCCTTGCCGGGGGCGACGCTGATCCCCGAGCGGCCGTAGGCGGCCCTCTGCTCCTCCTGCGCGCAGCTCATCGTGCCGAGGAGCTCCGCGACCATCGCGTTGGGCACCACCTCGCCATGGTCCCAGTCGTCGATGTAGTACTGGATCCACTGCTGCTCGAGCTCCTTCGACTTGAACGGAAGCGGCCGGTCCTTGCGCCACTCGAGCTCTGCGGGAAACCCCGCAGCGAGGGGCGAGAGCCGAACCCGAGGCGCCTGTGGCAGTGCTGAAACACCGTGACCGCGTTGATCCAGCCCATCGGGATGACACGCAGCGCGAGGTGAGTCTTCCCAGGACCTGGCACACCGATGAGCTCGTTCGGGATCGCCTCCGCGAGGGTCATGTATGGCTGCCAGGCCTCGGGCAGCTCGTAGCAGTAGAAAGCGGAGGCTTGGTCATCTGAGGACCAGAGCAGCATGTGGCCCTCTGGGAGCGGGATGGCGACCCACGAGGGCGACGCGCTAAGGGTCCCGATGTCATCCCTCATGATGCGCTGGTAGCTGTTGGCCGGGACCATGTTGATGATCAAACGCTGGGCGCACGCCTGGCCAGGTGACGGCGTGCCTCCCTTGGCGACCCCGAACGCCCCAGCGAGCACCTTGCGGCTCCCGACCTTGAAGATGCGGTCGTCGGCGATCGGCGCCGCCAGCCCCAGCTCGACGAGCTTGGTCCCGATGCGGTACCACTCCTGCTTGGACGTGACCTGGATCGCCGCCCGCGGGACCTCTGCAGGCCACTCATCTCGAGGGAGCAAAGCCAGCGTGGGGTCGGCAAGCCAGGCGCCCACCTGAGCGTCCGCGATGTCGACCGCCTTGACAGAGGCGGCGACGCCTCGCGCGGGGAGGCCTGGCATGATGCCCGCAAGCGAGAGCGGCAGGGCGCGGGCCGTCTCCTCGCCCCCGTAGGAGACGGTCCTCGACGCGATGACCTGGTCCCAGTCCGGGAGCTCGAAGGCTGTGGCGGCATCCTGAACGAAATACTCACAGGCCTCCTGCACAATGCCGAGCGCACTGACCTGGCTTGCCGTGGGCCGCCTCGCGGCGACGGTGGGACTACGCATGTGCCCCGTGTACTGGTAGTTCAGGCTGAAGACCACGAGCTGGGCCCACCCCTGCGCCGTGGCGGCGTCCACCTCGCTGGTCTCCGGCAGCTGCTGCAGGTACCAGGCGGCACGGTACCTCTCAAAGAGTGGGGCGTCGGGCAGCGGTAACGGCAACACCTCGCGCAGCCGCGCGAAGCTGGCCGCGGGGGCTGGCGAAGTGCACATCTTACGAACGTACCGCCCGATCGCCCCTGGCGAGCCGTGCACCGCCTCGTGGACTGCGAGGGCGAGCCTGAACTTGGAGCTGACGCCTGTGCCCACCTCGGCTAGCATCTGGCGCCACCGCCGAGCCTGCGAGCTGCCGCGTAGCTGCCGCTCAGGCGGGCGGAAGGCAGACGGGAGCGTGCTCTGGGCCGCGGCCTTAGCCGCGTCGGCCCTCACGCCCGAACCCAGGCCGTCCTGCGAGCAGTGCTCGTGCCGCGGCTCTTCCCCGTCTTGCCTTTGCCGCGGCTCTTGGCAGCCAGCGGCCTCCCGATGCGCGCCTTCCACGCTGCCTGGGTCTCGCCCTCGCCCCTCGGGTGGGCCGCCTTGTGCTGCGCGAAGCTCCGGCCTGCCGCCGCCTCCGCTGGTGGCACGCGGGCGGCGGCTGCTGCGTCGAGGTCCCCCTCCGAGTCGCTCAGGAGCTGGACTGACCGCGTGGGACTGCGGCTGGTCCTCCGCGCTGCTGGCGGCTTCTTCCCGGCGGGGGGAGCTGCGGGACCGTCGCCTGGAATTCGTCCGGCAAGGATCCTCATCGCCTCGGGCGATCCCGAGACTGGCGTCCCGGGAGCAGGGGGCGGGGGGCGCGCCTCCGCGCGCCCATGGCCTGCAGGTGCCGCCCCCCCCTGCAACGGAGACGGCTCCCGGCCAGACCCCTAGCCCGGCCTGCGGTCTGCAAGTCGCTGGCGGAGTTCGGCGACCTTCAGCTCCCGGGCCTCGACCTTCTCGGCAGCGTTCTCCTCGTCCAGAGAGGCGCCTGATGGAAGCTGTTCCTGCGCGACCAGCGTGAGCCACCGTGCCGACCGCCAGTTCCCGTCGCGGATGGCCATCGTCCGCGCCTTGAACTCCTGCATGAGCAGATCCGCAGTCTCGACGACCTCTCCGCGCAGGATGCCGTCGAGCGCCAGCCCCAGCGTGCGGAGGACCCGCACCTCGTCTGTCCCCAGCGTCCGCGGCGGGTGAGCAACGAAGAACACCGTGTTCAGGAACTGTGTGACGCACGGGGCCAGAGGGTCGGCCTCGCCTGCGGATAACTGCTGGGTGAACTGGCTGCGCAGGTGGCCGAGCCCATTCTCGAGGAGAGCGCCGGGCCGCTGCCGAGCGATCCTGCGGAACAAGTCGCGCTTGATGTTCACGCCCTGGTAGCGGTCGCGGCCCCCGAGGCGCTCCGCGTCGCTCTCCGCGCCGTCCTCCGCGTCGTCGTCGTCGCGCCCCAGGAGCGCAGCGGTCAACGCTGACGCCAGCCTGCTCCTCGACCCCGTGGCGCTGGCGCGCGCAGGGGCAGCAGCGGCGGCTCGGCCAGCTACCACCTGCGCCAGGCGCTCGCCCACGGCTCCCGCTGGACGCGCAGCATTCTTGGGCGTGCCCTGCCTCGGCACACCACGAGCTGCCCTGCCCCCGAGCCGCGCCAGCCGCGCCTCGAGCTCTGGGTCCTCGGCGGTCTCCTCGAGCCCCGCAATCTCCTGGTCGAGTGGGCTCGTCTCTCCTGGTCCGCCAGGGGTCTGGGTGCCCTCCACCTCGCGGGCCCGCTTGCGCGGAGGCCCGCGAGGCTCCTCCTCGTCCTCGTTGGCCCCATCCCCGAGCGGCCAGCCGCCGAGCTCTCCAGGCAACGGCTCGGCCGAGGGCGCGTCGGTCAGCACAGGCGCCCCAGGATCCGCGGCCGGGCAGATGAGCTTCGCCTGCTCGCGGGCCACATCGCGGGGGTCCACCACCTGCCACACGTCCAAGTGCTCGACTACAGCGCCCACTGGGGCGACCGCCCCGCACTCTGCGGCGCTGCACTTGCAGAGGTGGAAGACCGTGGCCAGGGGGCGCGCGCCCTGCTGCCCGGAGGA